TTCAGGAATGATTCTTACTAACAAATATTTGTTAATATGTTCTATTACTATGACCATACAATTAGAATTTTAATAATTTAAATGAATATATCTATATTTGTGACATCCCCATTTTCACGGCCAGAAAAGACCGATTTTGTTTATGCTTTATAAAAATCAGAGTTCTTCTTTTAATAAAAATGTTGCGTAATTCGTTCCCAGAAAAACACGATAAATACGTTATTAAAACATTTTCGAAGAAACGTATTTTATTCATTTTAAAACGTTTGGGATGTCATCGTCAATACAGGAACATAAGCATAAACATAACTTACATTTATTTACACTAGTGATCTACATCTCTTTAATCTCTCAGTGTAATGTGACTTCATATCAACACCTGTGATATAAATAAACCGAGTGGGTCAGGTTGAGAAACCTGGTGAGTACATAGGATTTTCAACCCACAATAATATAATTATTATGTTTAAACAATCAAACAATCAACCTAATTACCCATCCTCATTATCTTCTTTACTCTTAAGGATTTATCCTAAGGCTCATCTATTCTGCATTCGTTTATTCCGAAGTCCCTTACTTCCAGGGTTATAGGACTGGAACTAAATCCATAGCTGCCAATGTTCGTTCATAAAGCATTAATTCCATAGTTGCTATAGTCTATTCATCGGGTACTAAATCTATACCTACTAGTGTTTATCTAATAGGTACTAAGTCTATAGCTACCAATTCCTTAACAGGTACTAAATCCATAGCTACCGGTATTTGTCCAATAGGCACTAAGTCCATAGCTGCCGATGTTTATTAGTTAGGCACTAAATCTATAGCTGCCAATGTTTATTCACATCATCTTTTATCTCTCATCATTCGTCTATCCGTATCATACCCAACATATTTGTGTATATAAAATACGTATACAGTTTAAATCATCTAAAACATGTATAAAAACGTTCATCCAACATAGACAACAAGTATACAGATAATATGCACACATAACACATAGTTTATATAAAATACTTCATATCCATGTGTAAGATGAAAGTAACTATGCACACACCTGAGAAGGTGGTGACTGGGTAGTCGGACAACGCTTAGTTTACTTTGAAATAATTTCCTTCGACGAAACCTAGTATTATCACCACTAGATTTTAGTCTAATATTTACCGTGACTAATTATTAGTCTAGCTATTATTACTATTATATAAGCATTAAAAAAATACTTATATAACCCATAATAATAGCCCAAGTATTTATTATAAGTTCCTAATAACGTTACTATAATTAAATAAAAGCTATATTGAAAATAGTGTAGGCGTAGCTCACTTACAGTTGGTTTTATAGAAAAACAGGCTTTGCTTGGAGCAGCATTTCCGAGCCGAAAAGCTCTTCTTCTCGGAGCCGTCGAGCACTCCGGTGCTTCCGCCTCGTGCTAGGGAGGTTCCCTAGGCTTTTCGGGGAATTTCGAGGCTAGAGAGAGGTTCTAGAGAGAGAGTAAAGAGAAGAAAGAATGAGAAAGGTGTGAAGAAAATGAGAGTGGGAGAGGTTCTATTTATAGGGTGAAAATGGCTGAACCTGGTGCCACATGTCACCATTTAGTGGCAAGACTTGGGGAGAAAGCAATGGCCAAGATTGTGCCACATCACCCATTTTCGCACAACACACTTCCGACTTCTAAAATCCGTAACTTTCACATACGACCTCCGTTTTTGACGTTATTTATATCCACGCGTAGGTAAAAATAATATCTACAACTTTCATTTTGACTCCGTCAGCTAATTCTCGGCCGGTCTTAAATTTAACAGTACGAGGCGTTTAGACTGTTAAATGACCGCGAAGAATTCGTAACTCCTTCATACGGACTCTGTTTTCGTCTGTCTTTTTATTGTTAAGTTCCTATTAATGAGATCTTCAACTCTCATTTAGGTCGCATAATCCAAAAACCGCTCGAACTAAAATTCAAGTTTCGGGCTGTACACTGCTAAGCCGAATCTTAGAAAAATCATAACTTCTTCATACGAAGTCAGATTTGGGCGTTCTTTTTATGAATTTTCTCGGTTTAACATATTATATGACTTTCGTTTAGATCATTAAGGCTAAAAAGTCCTCCATCGTAAAATCACTATTTATGCTTCCCGGTGTCGTGCCGGTTCCGTCGCGAAACTTCGACGGATCATAACTTCTTCGTTATAACTCCGATTTCGACGCTCTTTATATGTACGGAAACCTTGTGACATATTCTACACCTTGGTTAAGATTATTTATTCTAAATAATCTTTTGTAGAAAAGTCATTTTCGATCCGTATTACCTCTAAATTGACTAGCCCGGATCTACGGGCGTTACAATATTCTATAATGATTGTTGTTGCTTTTATATATTAAAGTATGTTGTTATTCAAATATTGAATAATAGCATAAATACATGATTTATTCATAACATATTATACTTTAAATGCAAATTGTTTTAACTTAACAGAAGAGTATTTAACAATTTTCATATCATTAATATGTTGAAAGTAATTAATGTATTTATGATATTATTCATTATTGACTATAACAAAGGGTTTAAAGTCGATAATGGTTAAACTTATTACTAAAATTTACCCAAAAGCAAACGTAAATCAATATATGATGTATAGGTGTTTTAAAAGTTAATCGTACAAACATTTGTTATTATGATATACTACTAACAAACTATGAATACTGCTTAAATTGTATATGACTATAGTCTATAATGATTGATGTTTTATAATTTCAAGAAAGGAAAAATATATCTATTCTAAGTGCAAACTGTTTAATATCATTAATCTGTTAGGATTACCAGATTTGGTAATGCTATTATTCATTGTTGAATAAAACAAAACATTAAAAATAATGAAGCTGTTTTAAGATAACATAACATACTAAATCGTAGAAACATATTCTTATTCATAAATCTAATAGAAAAGTAAAATCTATTGGGCAACCGAATGGGCCATTTTAAGCTTGTTTTTGACTCTCGTGCAAGTTTGACTTTGCAAGTCCTCCAATTATGGTTAACATATTGATTGCAACCTGTGCATATTCTGGGTTTTTTCTTTGCAGCTGCAACAACTTTCTCAATAGCACTAACCATTCTTTTCTTAGTTCTACTACCTTTGGTATGTATAGATGAAGGTGGATGGATATTTATTTCATCAGGAATGCTGCGTATTCCAAGCATCCAAATAATTTCTTCTTCATCATTATCAAGTGACGTTTGGTTTGAACTGCCAAACTCCAATGCTGCCTGCTTCAACTAACGTGTTTTTTCAACAAATTCCAACAATTTTTCCTTGCTTCTTTTGAAATGATCCAAGCAGTATTCAACATTGTTGTATGCCTCTGTTAGAAGTTTAAAGGTGTCATCTTCTGTTTCCATGTCAACATGTTTCATGGCAAGCAAATGGCTGGAAATTGCATCCCTTCTCCATCTTCTTAGAATATATTGCTCTGGAATCTCTTCAACATGGTTGTTTTTCAATACAACAAAAATATGACGACACAAAATGACAGTACGTATGAAGTGATTGCATGAACATTTAACTTCTTTTTCAAGCAACTTTAGTTCAACCTACATTGTATAATAAAAATAATGTATGTTAGTAACTGATTGAATTAACATATTAGTTGGTGGTTATTGCATAATATTGAAACAAGTATATGTAATTTAAAAATAATGATATAATATACTTGTATAATCACTAATGAATAGCGTTTAAATGATGAATATAACCTTGCATTTTATCTTCAATTGTTTGCTCTTATCCATTTGTGTAATCATAACAACTTGCCACCCATCAATCTTTTCATCACTGTCGATAGAATAGTACCAGACTGCTTTAAATATTTCCTTTTTGACCTCATAGAAATTTTTTTAGTGTAAACCGCAGCTACATGTTCTAGTAATCCACTTGGAAGCGTCATTTCATGCTTTGCATTTTTTGTATCATGTTCTAGTTTCTGTTGAGCATTTCGTTGCTTTCCAATGGCAATGTCGTAGTTCATCATGAAATAGATAAGAAATCTACCAGAGTTAGAGTATTTATTAAAAAATGAGTTGACGCTTTCAGACCTTGAAGTAGTTTTCATCAGACCGTGTAGTGGCATGTCTTTAAAATAGGTTGGAATCCAAAGCTTTCAATCCCTGTACATGTCTTTGAACCATCTTTTGTCCTGTAGTTTGAATTTTCTCATAAGCAGTTTCCACCTTGATTCAAAGACTTGAGGCTCAATGTAGACATTCCAAACAAGCTTAGTAAAACGCTTTTGAAAATCAGTGTTTTTCAAAAAATCGGCTAAAACCTAAAAAAAATTTGAATTTTATAAGATTAACTATGAATAAACAATATGTATGCTAATCATTTTTAAAAATATGTAAGTTGTGTAAATCATTGTTGAATAAAACATGTTGCATGTTAACTTTAACCAAAATATACACATCTTGGCTTGTAGTTTTTTCATAATATGCCACATACATAAACGATGATTAGAAGTAGGAAATATTGCTTCAACGACTTGTAGAATTGTTGGATCTTGGTCTGTTAACACACTAATTGAGGGTGTTTTACATGTGCTTTCAAAAAAGCTTCGAGCAACCAACGATAAGATTCTATTGACTCGTTGCTTAACAAACCTGCTCCAATGTTTATTGAACGTTTGTGGTTATCAATGGCTGTAAACGGCACAAAAATCATTCCATACCTGTATTAAAAAGGCAATTAAAAACAAATTGAACATTGATTATAAACTTAAAAAACATCAATATTCATATTTAAAGAAAAAAAATGTATAATAACTATAAGAGCTTACTTATTTGTTCGGAATGTAGCATCAAATGAGATCACATCTCCAAACTCTTTGTAATATAACTTATTGGTTTCATCCGCCCAAAACATTGCGTTTAACACACTATCAACACATTTATACTCAAATGTGTAGTTATGTAACTCATCTTTCCTCATGTTCATTTTGTCAACAACCAGCTGTGCATCCTTGTCACCTATAATGTTTCCCATCTTCCTTCTAAAATTTTATAATCAATTGCTTCAGGGCCAACGTTTTCATAACTTCCTTGCAAACTAGCTTGTAACTTATGTGCCTTTGTTGCACCAATGTTAGATGTTGAAGAATGCACTATAAACTCCTTGTCTTTATAACTAAGTCGTCGTGCACGTTTGGAATACCATCTGTCTTCTTTAGTTTCTAGGGGGTGGTTGTGATTCTCTTCAAACTCATATATTTTACAAGCATTAGTTCGCATATGTAACCTTTCAAACTTTATCAATGCCTTGCAGTCCGTGATTTTGAAGTTTGAGTTTCGTTTATTCCTTCCACTTCCCTCAGGATCCGAAGTGTCAGCTGATCTGTTAGGTATTTTACCCATTTTGTTGCACACTACATACCTTTTTTAATGGTTTTGTCACCAAACCTAGTTACTGTATTTAACCTGACACCAAAACCTGCTTTATCTGCATATAATTTATACATTTCAACCGCCTCCTCTAATGATTGATAAGTAGCATCTACATCTGGCATAAATTCTTTAGGAACAATAGGTTTCCACAACTTGGTTTTCCCACCGGGCGAGTCAACAACATTACTATTGAATGATTCCTCTTCATAATCAGTTCGATTTGTACCTGTTTTTTTAGACAACAAAAAACAATAATGCGACATGAGAGACATGATATAAATTTCGATCAATTACGTATACATAAACTAAGCAATTTTATAATCATAATCAACGTCTGTGAAAAAGTAATCAAAGTTGAAGTGTTTACTCATTTTAATCGTATTAACGCATAATCACCAATGCTTATCAAACTTAATCAACATTGTATTAAACTTAAGAAACAATGTACAATGATGTGTGATATACACCAGCAATAACTAATTAATACATACAACGTATATGATTAATCGTATACTAATATGTACTAAATAAATGACAGGTCTTATTCATCATATACAAAAATTCAATGACTGTAATACATGATCTGTATTTAAAAGATGTTGATGTTGTTCTCATTTGTTACCTTCACTCGCATAATCAGATAATTGATTTCTTCCGCTGTATTAATCATCCGAATGATAGAAATCGTCTTCATCATATTGATTATTGTCGAATGCTTCGTCGCCATATTGATCATTATCTTCGGTATCATCGCTACTATAATCAAAACAGTCCGACATCGATATTTTGGGTTAACAAATTCCAACGTTGTTATCTTCAACCGTAAACGATGTTACAGATACAAATGTCGATTGACTAAATCAGGAATGGCATACTGGAAATCGTATCTTCAATTCCATATCTCCTTGAACGATAACTATGGAATATCCCTTAATTATAGGTAAATATTAATGGATAATATATTGATTATTAATTGTATTATATTAATTAAAAATTATATTAAATACAAATTTACTTAAATACCCTAATAAAATGATTGGCTGATAAGTGTTCTCGCGTTCTCAACCTTTTAGGCGTTTTCATTTGATCCTACTCCTATATATATATATATATATATATATATATATATATATATATATATATATATATATATATATATATATATATATATATAATTTCACAATTTTATACTTGTATGTATTTTTTTTTATAAATAATGGACACCGGTTAGATTTCGTTTTGGATCCACCACTACCTCATACATAGGGGTGCAAACGAGCCGAGCCGAGCCCGAGCTTGGCTAGGCTCGGGCTCTTTTAAGTTATACAAGGCTCAAGCTCGAGCTCGGCTCGATTCGAGCTTTTCTTTTACTAAGCTCGGCATGAGCTCGTTAAGAATTATACAAGCTAGGCTCGGGCTCGGGCTCAACTCGTTTTTCATTTGTTGTGCCTAAATAAGCTTAGGCTTGGCTCAAGCGCGTTAAGAAGCTCGTTTACTAATACCCGAAATTCATAATTTCCCAAATATGTTTTTATTTTAATTTATGAAAATAATAAATTATATTATATAAAGGCTCGTTTAGGCTCGCGAGCCTAATCGAGTTTAGTGACGTAGGCTCGAGCTCGAGATAGATTAATAAACGAGCTTAATATTAAGCCTGAGCTCGGCTCGGGCTTGTTTAAAACTGGTTTCGAGTCGAGTTTTTAACGAGCCGATCCCGAGTAGCTCGCGAGTAGCTTGACTCGTTTGCACCCCTACCCATACCCATGCCCTTAGCTAAGAGGGGTGACAATACAATCAACCTTTATCTATCTATAGAAAAAAAAAAAACCTTACAAATTAAAAAAAAAAAAAAAGATTAATTTAACAAAAAATTTGTGTTTTGAGTTTTTATCTTTCAAAATACAAAAGATATTCCCCTTCTATCAAAATGAAAAATTATCATTCTTGAGTTTCTTCGTTTACTTTGTTACTTGATCTAAACTGAATAACGTACTTTTATAAGAGATTCCACGACATATCCATCAAACAAACCATATACATCAACAAATGGTAACTGTACTTTTATATAATCATGTGGTGGAGTTATGCATATAGTTTCAAGTATGTAATAAATTGAGGTTTTCTGAAGACACAGTTATCAATACAAAGCACTTAGACTGAAAATGTTAAGTGCTCATCTTTTTGCAAGTGCAGTCGAATATTATTTGCAAGATGCTTCTTGTGTCTTGCTCCTTTGGCAGCTTTAGCAAACGAGCCACTTTTGTATACCCAGCATGTTGCCTCCGGAGAGATTCAGGCTTTAAATCGGGCTTCATTTCCTTATTGGGCCTTTTGGGTTGTGTAAGGGCCCATTGCATAGCCCATATTGCTAAAGGCCGCATGTATGTTATAGATCTGTAGTGCCCATCAGTATTCCAAGCTTCTGGGGTTTGAAAAGAATAGCTGCAAAAAAACCAGTCACGAGGTGTAGTTTAAATTTGTTGCTTATCAACGCATTGTACATTGATAAATCTATCTAATTATAGCATTGTGCTTTCTTGAAAGATTACCCAACTATAGTGATGAAAATTGCTTTGTATTTGGATAACACTGATTTTATGGAAAGAAACAAAAGTATGATACTATAAAAAAACAAATGAAAGAAAGTAGGTTGCTATTAAGTATACTTACCCGCATCCCTCTTCAGACCAAGCGGTCTCATACACTCCACTTGCAGTGTGGAAAGCAGTGTCGATCATGTCTTCATGAATCATACCTGCAGCAACTCCATAGGTAACTCCTGTCCAAATTTCCCTTGATTGCATACATGACATATCAGGTTCACCAGTGGGTAGCATCCCATTAATAGCTCCACGTTTCCCATTCTTCACTTTCAATACATTGAAATTGTAAACCTTCTCCAATGCACTTTTCGCCTTTTCTTCATCAACAATAGGAGAAAGCCCACATGCTCTAGCATACCTACCACAATTCACAACCAATGTTAAATGTCTTAAATGCCCTTTATAATGAAGGCAGTTCAAATTTAAACATACCATTGTCCCGCTAACTGATCAGCTTGAATGGACGAACTTGCCCTCCCTTTACTATCATCATAGTTAAAATAAGAACCATTCCACAACTTATCATACACACTCCTCGCTTTCATAAACTTGGCCCAAAAATACTCCTCGCAACCCTTATCACCGACCACACCCGCCATAGCAGACGCCGCCTGCAACGCCGCCACCCACAGCCCACCGGAATACGCACTAACACCCGATACCGACCATGTATCATACGTCTGATCAGGAAACCCTTCGTTTTCAACCATCCCATCTCCATCCTTATCAAACTGCTCCATGTACGCCATTGCAATATAAACAGAAGGCCAAACAGCTTTCGCAAAATTCTTATCTCCGGTGGCCACCACGTCTCTGTAGGCTTGGAGGACAAATTTAGGGTTTAGATCTTTCCATTGGTCTGTATTGTGGAGGTTATAGAAGTTAACATCAAACCAAGGATCGATCATTCCGATATCATGAGGGACAGCACCTAGGGCTTTTTTCGGGACTGATGCCCCGTCGGATAAAATATCCATTTTACGGGGATCATGCATCATGACGGCAGATGCGAAGTCACGTTGGAGGCTGAGTTCGAGTTTGGGGAAAAGCATGATTAGGGCGAATGATGCGTAGAAATGGACGTCGTATGTGTTACACATGTGGTATTCTATTCCTTCGTAATATAGAAATTGCCCGATGTTTTCTTCTCCGTCTTGTAGAAGATTTGTTCCAAATGCTGAGATTTTTGACGTGGGGTTATGGATTTCTTCGAGTACTGACGTCATTCTTTCAAGAACGTTAACAGCGGTGTCGTGGTGATGAGTTGTATTACCACCATTACTTTGAGAATCCATGTTAGATCTATCAATTGAGAACTGTCTTCCATTAATGGTTGATAAGTTGTGTACAGGAGGTAGTCCGTCTGGAAAAAGAAAACAATGATTATGAACATAAACTTGAGCTGGTTTCATTTGATAAAAAAAATAAAAAGATTAGGGTTACCTGTCCAAATTGTGCCCCCTGAGTTGAGATAATATAATTCATTGAAAAGAGTGATTGGGTACCTGAAGAAAGGCAATAGGATTAGAGATTAGTAAGTAAGGGCAGTGAAAAGAAAGAAAATTAGAGGTTCTGGATTACCATTCAGGAAGCCTCTTGTCTTCAAGGATAGGCTGTTGCCATGCTTCTATCTGGGCCTCCCAATTACCATGTTCTAAAAAATTTCATACAAAATGAATAACTGAAATTGTTAATAATATATAAAAACAACTTTCTTGAAACAGCAATGTACTTTAAAATACTAAAATAGATACCAAGAATAGCATCATGTGCGATTTTTTCAGCAGCATCCCCATGACTACCATAAAATTTGGTGTAACGCCTGTCACAAAACATCCCTTGTAAGAATCATGCTAGTTTTCATATAACGCTAAAATGCAAGAAATAGCAATGCACTTTCATTTATTTGTTTATCAAAGCATTAATATTCTAACTTTTTTTTCTACTACCACAACAACGTATTTTCAATTCATCTTATTAAAGCATTGTATTTTGAAATATCTACCTAACTATAGTATTCAACTTCTAGTATTTTTCTTATTGGACCTTACACTTTAAAAAATCTACAAAATCATAGCTGTGAAAACTGCATCGTACTTGGATGACATTGGGATACATTGGTTAATTTTCAAAGTAGGATCATGTAATAGGACGAAATGAAAGTAGGATGCCATAAATATAATAAACCAATATACGAAAGTACGTTGCTATTTCTTGAATTTAGCCCATTTGATATATAATAAAGTTTGAGAAAAGAAAAGGTTTGGTGAGTCACCTATGGTAAGTCCTGGTTGGAAAGACAAGTTCCGGGCAGTCCCACGCCAATGAGAAGGTGACAGTACGCACAACCTGAGATGGTATGGTCACAGAAGCTGCAATAGCCGCACCTATACACGACTTTGCTTCTGAGATCATTGGTAGTTGAGAGGAATCAAGGTGATCAAAAGAACCATTCTGAATAATAAAAATTAAGGGTAGATGTAAGAAATGGCAATCTACTTCCATTTATTTGTTTATTACAGCATCTTGCTTTCATTTCTACTTATTATAACATTGCACTTTGAGAATTTTATCAAATGATAGCAATGACATCCAAATACAAAGCAATTCATATTTGCCATAATTGGGTAGATTTTTTAAAGTACAATGTCTTCTGTCTTCTTAAGACAAAATTTGAAAGTACCTTTTTAATTTCATTCCACATGTCTTTTGCTGTGAGACCCTTGGAGTTTCCAGATATTACGAAGGAAGGGCACTCTGAAACACGAACATGGTTTGTTTCTTGTGCTGCAATAGCAAAGGTTACAGGGGGTTGCCCATCTGCACTCCTGTAATAAAAATAAATGAAAGTATTTTGCTAATTCTTGCATATGGCACAAAAGGAACAACACATTTTATTAATGAATTAATAAATCAAGGAGCGAATAGTTTACGCATGATGTAGGAGTACTCCATGAATGCCATCTTTCACCCTGGTAACAATATTTTTAACATTTATGACAAAGTATATATAGTTAATAAATAATAATCCTGAAACCCAATATGGATGTACAATTGAGGTTAACATGTGAACATCCTTACGTCATTTTTGAATTGGAATGATGACCAGATAATCCAGAGGATCCACCAACAGAATTCTGAAATAAGTGAGAATATCAACTTTTACTTATTTTGTTTTTTTCTGAAATACCTAAAATGATGAAAACTTACCTCCCATGTAAATAGCAAAGTGACATCTGCATCTGTGTCTCCAGTGTTCGACAGCTAAGCAAGATTAAATCCAATGATAACGACCAATGTCATCTCAGTACACGACATACAAAACTCTGTAAATAAGGATAAGGATAGGAGGGCATTCATGTCTTTTGAGAGTGAGTCTCATTGTTGCCATATTTTTGAATGGGACAAAAATTGCAGTTTTTGTCTCATTGGCATCAATCTCAATATTTGTCTTATTCTACTCATATATGGTGTTCTAGTTCAATGTCATGGCATGTCAATGTCTCGTCATGTTAGGCTTTAAGAGAAAAGACATACTGTGTAAGTAAATACTGCTACAGGAAGGCTGCTTTCTTTATAATTATGAGGGATAATAGGGGAAATCTGACGACAAACTATTTTGAGGTCCGGATCAGGTTCACCTACATAACAGAAAAAGGGTCGGTCAATGATGACGCAAAAAAAGTCAAACTTAGACCAATGGTCAACCTTGGGAATGAAAAAAAAAATGAGAATTACCATCATAAACTGTCCAAGCCCTTGGGTATAATCCATGGTATGTAGATTTCTCTCCACTGAAATTCCAGTCCCAAGATCCAATACCAACATCTAAACTATCTCTGTTAATTCACATTATCTTCAGTTTCATTTTCATTAATAGTTCTTTCAGTTTCAACTTTCTATCAAATATTACTTTTTTTTTTCTTGTAGGGAATTGTTTAAAAAAAGTTTAATAGAAAGCTTCTTACTTCAGCATCTCTTGGTTTGGTGGGCAGAGGACAGTCGAATACTTCTTTCCATTTGGTCGTGAGACAAACATCTGCACAATGTCATAAAGTACATAAGATATCATTTACAAATATTACAGTGATGAATATATCTGTAAAAAAGAAGAAAAAACTTACAGAAAATTGATTTGCTAAAACTGGTTTATCTTCACATAATTTAGGAAAGAGTTGCCAACGCAAAAATTCGCCTTTATATGTCCTTCCAATGCTACCTGCACTGCCAGATGTGTTTTTCCAAATAAAATGACCAAAAGAAAGAGTTGTGATTATCAATTATCATACAAAACGTTTAAATGAGCTTACCCAATACCACCTAAAGGAACACCATTACAAGAAGAATAGTAGTGTTTCTTGAAAGGATCAACAATAGTTCCCTGAAACAATATAGTAATATAACTTAGTGAATTGTCATGATTAAAATGCTTATCAAAGAAATATTGATATGAATTAAGAGAAGTACATTTCCATTTCCGTTTGCAGCATCTTCTCGTATCCAACGCCATAACCGATATCCCATTGGAGCCTATGCAAAGGAAGAAAACAATTAAAAAAGATGATATGTAAACAAATTGTATCACTTGATATATAACATACATACCAGATGGATTACTTCTTTGAACTTTAAACCAAACTCTGAAAGGGGAGTTTCCTTAGTGTTTAGTTTCCTCTTCCATGTAAGAGATGCAGGTTTTGCTGGATCAACCTTATCCTGGAGAAAGATTTCTTTTTAATTAAAAAGATCATAATAAATTCTACAAATATATAGAAACAAGAGAGGCCTGAAAATGAATAAAATATCAGAATAGAAGCATTATTATCCATGTACCTTGATAATACTAGCATCAGAAGCTTCTCTATCAGCATCATAATTATTTGCTGTCATTTCCCTGAGAGAAAACATGGATAAAAAGATTAACTGTAATGTTCACAAACTCAGCAAATATGTGTAGCATTAGATCCTGCATTAATTTCAGTTTGATGTAAGATACTGTGTTTGTTTCAAAATCATAGTCCTCTTTTTATTTTGATTCAAATCTTACCTTTCAATTTGGATAATTACATAAAGTTTTAGTTGTTTCTGCTCAGAGTCTTCTATACTGCAATATCTTTTAAATTGATTGATATCAAAAAAGTTCTTTTGAGTTAAAATCTAAATCCATTTGAGACCACAAAGTAAAAAATGGAATCTAATTTTGTCTGAAGAATGTTCTCTCAATGATTATCGTTTGCAAAATCTTTTCATCTTAACTAGTTATACCGATTGCTTCAACAATAATAGCCTGTTTATAGCAGAAACCATTGATGCTAAAAATCAAGCACACAGGCCGCCTGCACTTTTGACCAATTCCATTGCTCCTATATTCTTGTGAATACAGACACAAGCATAAACTCAACAAAATGCGAAGTCAAAGGTTTTCCATAATCAGTACGAAGATTCAGATACTACGAACTTTAAGTAATAAAACAAAATCTGCTTGAAAACCTATCTTCGTAAAAAAAACGCAATGATACAGTTATACTAGAATAGCGATCATAACATATTTTGGCAAATCAATGGCATTTTTTACACGGATAACTTAAATTCGACGTAACATTGCATCTCCAATGCGGAAACAAAAACCAGATGCGGAATTCACTACGATAGATAATAAAGTTGAATTCAATTAAAACAAGCACATTTTGGTAAAGCAAATTTATCAGCAATTAATCAACTAAGAATTCCTCATTCATCGTAAGTGAAAGAATCGAATCGAAATTCAATCCAGTGTTGAATTTCACGAACGTTACCAAAGTTTTGAAGAAATGATTCTGCAAAAGATTCCGTAGCGATTGTTGTAGAAACCTGCTGTATCATGAAACTGAAAATAAGAATAGTCAAGGTGTGCTGCTGCCTACGATTATATTTAATTTAATTTAATTAATTAATGTCCAGTTGTTTAACAGTTGGTGAATTACAATATTTTCCCTGGACTATTCATTAATCTACAACTTTGGTCTTATTTTCATTTGTTACATTTTCGATCCAATTTAAAAACTACTGTGTTGTACCTAATGACGATTGGTGTTCTTTCTCAAGGTGTAAACTTTGTAGCATCTTCGATTGTTAAGTTGTAATGAAAGCATATATTCAGGCTAATGTACATTCTAGATTTTGGATTATATGGTTTATCGGTTATTATCACTATAATCCAACGAAGTTTTGTAAAAAAATTATGAGATCCATGAGTTAGTTTTTGTCATTATAAGGGTATAAACTCAACAATGACATATTAATAAAGGGAAGAAAACCTTTATTAATAGGTTAGCATGTATAAAGTAACCAAATATAAAATGATGTGACATATTTCATGTTGATATAGACGCCACATAGACACCATCTGTGAGATGACATGACATTTAACACTCAAAGAAATACATAACCACCTCCTTTTCTTCCATGGCTAACATCTCCGCCCGACTAGAGTAAATTGCGGAAACCTCCGTTTGTCTCGACTCTCAACCTCAGTCCCCCTCCTTCTGACCACCATATCAATAAATTCAAACAACCTTTTCCACCTCTAGTTTTCTTTCTTGGACAAACCTAATTCAGAGCAATTATTATTGGATTCTTACATCGTTCAAATTCAGACAATCACATTACTAGTTGATGTAACTTATCAAGCGTTACATAATTAATTAGAATCAGTAACATTACTAATGCATATCAAGCTAAACATAATCAATTCAAAGTAATTATAACTTAAAATAGATGTAAGTTATCAAGCTTAAGATATATGTAACTTATCAATTATACATAATCAATTAAGAGTAACTAAACTTAAAATACATATGGGTGTTTGATTTTGTTGGTGATTTTAGTGTCACCATGCCATTTTAAGTAACTGGAACCAACATGTGAGCTAAGGGGCTTCATGATTTGTACTCTAATATATGTACGAGGTTGTGTGGAGTGCATGCATGTATAAGATCGAGTCAGAAGCCGGTTTGACGACTAGTTGGGGGTCCGGGGGCAGCGCCCCGGGTCCGAGGTTTACAAATGGGCAACACCCCTTTGGTAGGGTCTAGGGACAGTGCCCCTAGTGGGGTCCAAGGGGCAGAGCCCCAAAACATCACCGAATTTTACATATGGTAACATAATGGAAAATTCAATTTCTTGAGGGTGATTATGGTAAAACTAACAAAACTCGTTAGTTTTTGGTAACCCTAAATCCTCATTAAATCCGGATTGACATTACTTGCTTCCAAAACAACTAATGACGGCCCAACCCTAATGAAACCCTAATCGTGTTTAATATATAAAGAGCTCTTCCTCTCCAGAAGAGGGTTACGATCTTAAGCTCTCGTTTTCGTCATACTTTCACAGAATCATCTAGCATATTGGCTTACGTTTTCTGTGCCTAGAAACGTAAGTGTCCACTTGGATTATCCTAGGCTGAATTTCTTGTGACCCGTGCATAGGGAAGAAATATCAATTCGGAAAGTGATATCACGATCCAAGTTGTTATCAAGATCTCCACCACAAACCCTAAATTTCCCTACATGATTTCAGGGTTGAATAAGCACCAAAAGCCTTATCATGGTGCCTTAATTTGTTTGTGTACCATGGATAAGATTTCAAAATCTAGTAGTTCTTTATCTTTTCATTGCTCTTGATATAAAAAAATCAAATCAAACACTAGATCTCCTGTTTGTAAGGAGTACATCTAAGAAGAAGAGTTTGCACAATAGATGTCACCTCCCATAATTATTAACCGAAAGAATCACATGATTCTATTGATACATTCGATTGACTAAACATTTCACAATTAGTAAGTTGGATTTATTGTCATAACCTGCATTTTCCAACAAAATCAATCTAGTTAAACCATGATCATGAGCAAGTACATAAATATACTCCTGAAAGATAAGTGGATATAAGAAGTGGTGTTGTTGAGATCTATCTGGCCCCAAATAGCTTTGAAATTTCTCCTTTTAAAATTCTATTTAAATAAAAAGTAGAGTATTTTGGGGGTTATCAAATGATACATAATCGAAGATGAAAAGGAAGACCTGCAATTTTGTGAACAATGTGGAGTCGAGTTTGTTGATTCTCATATACAAAGATATCAAATGGGCTACATCAAACTCGCATACCCGGTAATGCATGTGTGGTATTTGAGACGTCTTCCTAGTTATATTGTTACTCTTTTAGATAGAAGTAGATGAGACTGGATGACATTAAATGGGACACCATTTGGGAACTTTTGGATTAGATAAACTCAGATTTTAGAACAATTATGCAAATGGTCATTTAGGTTTTGGTTTTTTCCCTAATGTAGTCCCTACGATACTTTTTTCCCTCAAAGAGTACATACGAACTATAAGTTGCACGTGTTTGGTCCTCGAGTTAGATGTCCGTCCATTCCAATATTAAGCTGCCCCCATGTGACTTGCACATGATGGTATTTATGTCATTTTACCTTAATGGACATTTTTTGAACATTTAACTTAATAGCTTTAACCATTAAGGTGGCGGGGTTTAGTTTCAGACATTGACTTTGACACTCTATCTCTTTCCCCAAGAAAACCTTTTGATTATCTCCTCTTCTTCAATTGTGAGTTATTATCGTCGTCCGGCAACATAGTTCAACTGATTCAAGGGTGTGTCGAGGAAAATGGTGCTCACATTGTGGTTCATTATGTCCACGCTACACCCAACCACCTGAGCTACGTAAAGATTATGGTAAGCACAAACCTTTTAATGGTAGGTTTGAAAAAATGTTGTAGACATGTAATTTTGCTTTCCTTCATTAGTAACATTTTGTTCTTGAATTTTCACCTCAGGTTCTATTTCAAGCTTTTTCACATTCAAGATAAATCATGGGGGTTCGTTCACAACTACGGTATTTGGAAGGTCGTACATAGATGAGCTTGTGGATCACTTTGATTTTGTGGACATGGATGTGTTTTCAGTCCATGAGTTAGATGATATGATGGCAGTCTTAGGGTACAATGATGGAAGTATAATGTTTTACCATTTTATGATCCTAGAGACAGACTTGGATAGTGGATTGCTACCCCTTGGCATCGATCAGGAATTCATTCAGCTGGCAAGGTATGTGCCTAATCATAAGGAAATTAATTTGTACATTGAGCATGGGAAGACTAGAGTAGTCCCTTACTTTAAGTCCCCATTGAAGGTTTGTATTGAGGAAGTTGAAGGGAATCATTATACTGAAATGAATGGGGTTAGAATGAAAAGGAAATCATTTGGGTCATGTAGTAAAAAGTTAGATTTGAATGAGCCCACTGATTTGTCAAAGTTTATTGTACCCTATGAACTTATGATCAACAAAAAAAAACACTCAGCTGATCGAGAGAGGGTCCCTTTAGGGGGTACAGTTTGAGGATAACTAAGGTAAAAGAGCTGTTGACACAGGGGATGATCACCAACCAAAAGGGGATGCTAATCTAGTGGATGATTATGAGGTAATGGGGGATGTAGACACAAAATATGGTGGGGAAAAAATCTACATGATGTTGAGTTTTTTGAGGATGAATACAGTGGAAGTAAGGAAAGTGTTAGTGAGGGTGCTTGGAGTGAGGGTAGTAGGAGTGAGGGTAAAAGACAAATGAAGACAGTGAAGATGAAGACTTCTTTGTGGATTTAGAAAATATTGTAAATGATGTGGATGTTGATATGAAAGATTTTCATATACAGGTTGATGAAGATGTTGAGTGGGTTCAAAAAACAACCAAATAAGCAAGTAGTAGTGGTGTTGACTTTACTGAAGGTGAAGATTTAGAGGTCATAGACCCAAAATCATTTGATTCACCTATTGTATGTGAAGATAACAACAGAGAGAGGATGTTGAGAGACATAGAAAAAGAAAAAGCTTGTTCTGAGGGTGTAGTTCATCCAAAGGCTTTCACATTAGGACAGAAGTTCAAAACAAAGCAAGATGTGAAAGACTATATAGACAAACATGCAGTAGAAACCAAAAGGGATTTACATTTTGAAGAAATGAAAAAACATGGATAAGGGCTAAGTGTAGAGGAGTGGTCCTAAATATGAGAGTAGGCCATGGACAAAGTCAAGGACTGGATTCAAGGATAAAATAGTAAATATGAAAAAGGGTAAATGTCCTTGGATTGTACTAGTGTCTAGACCTAAAGAGACAGATGACTGGGTGGTGAACACCCTAGTTAATGAACATCGTTGAGTGCAATCAAGAACCATTAAAGCTTGCAACTACAAATTCATTGCAACACACATTGTGAAGCAAATTGAGAGTAATCCAACCATTTCGGTTAATGCAGTTTAAGATCTCATCCACAAATTCGAGATGAACATGTCAAGAATGAAGGTACATCGGGCAAAGGGATTGGCTTAAAAGCATGTTTTTGGGGATTTTCAAAAACAATATGCTATTTTGAGGGACTATGGACTAGATCTAATGGAAAGAAACCCATGTACTAATGTCTAGACCGATTGTCACACTAAGCCAAATATAAATTCTGATACAAGGATGTTTAGGAGATTTTACATTTGTTTAGGAGCATTGAAGGAAGGATTTAAGGCTAATCTAAGGGATTTCATAGGGTTGGATGGTACTTTCATGAAAGGTCCTTATCCTGGTCAAATTTTAACTGTCGTAGGGGTAGATTCCAATAATAGGATATATCCTCTTGCATATGCACTTGTTGAAAATGAAACCACAGATTCATGGACATGGTTTTTGGAACAACTTGGTGATGATCTAGAACTTTATGCTAATTCAAACTTCACTTTCATCTCAGATAGACAAAAGGTACATATACGATATTGTTGTTATTTAGTCAACTAACTATTGAAATATTTAACTAGGGCATCATTCCTGCAATTGCCAAACTTTATCCTCAAGCTGATCATAGGTTCTGTCTGAGGCATATATATATATATATATATATATATATATATATATATTTATATATATATATATATATATATATATATATTTATATATATATATATGATAATATGAAAAGACAGTGGAAGGATAAAGAGCTCAAAGACTTTTTGTGGGCGTATGCAACTGCTACTATTGTAAGGCATTTTGAGAAAGCATTAGAAGAGTTAAAAAATTCAATGTTGAAGCTCATGATTGGCTGATACAGATTCCTCCGGCTCATCGGGCAAGATCTCATTTCTCAAGCTAGCACTTCATCTCACAATGATGTTTACATTTACTTGCCACTATTAGGTTTTGTTCTCATTTTGTATTATATCACTAAACAGGGAGGGCACATACTAACATCTTGTTGAATAACATGGGTGAGGTTGTGAATGGAAAAATACAAGGTGGTAGGGATAAACCTATCATTTATTGTTTGTAGTATATTAGAGAGTGTTTGATGAAGAGAATTTGCAATGTCCAAAGAGATATTGATAGATCTGATGGCCCTCTCACACCAACTGCTACTACTCTTCTTGGTCAAATGAAAAGAAAAGCACAAAAGCACAAGTGTATTTTCAATAGGGCTAAAACTTAGGTCACTGCTCATTAGGGTGACCAGTTTATTGTGAATTTGGATGAAAAAACATGCACATGTAGACATTGGGAAATTACAGACATGTTATGCTCACATGCAATAAGTGCATTATGGGACAAGATTAAACATGGAACAAAGAATGTTCCTGAGTTAGAGCATTGGGTCCACCCCATGCTAATGGCTAGTTTCATAGGTAGAAGTGTACAAACACAAAATTGAACCTATAAATAGATTGATGTGGCCCAAATCACCATGCCCAACCAAGTTGCTTCCACCCAAACATGTTGTTCAGGTATGTCTTCATATATCAATATAACTGTAATTTCTGAAGAACAACAATTTAATCTTATGTACATTTATAGGTGGGTAGGCCCAAGAAGAAAAGGAAGAAGGCATATGATGAACATGCTACACAGGGGCATAAACTGTCCAAGAAGTGGACCAATGTCACATGTGGAAAGTGCAACAACAAAGGGCATAACTCACAAACTTGTAAAGGTCAAGGTAGCCCTAATGACAAAAGAACTGGAGACACAGGAGGAAAGAGGTGAGGATAGAGATGTTGTTGTTAAGTGTTAGGTCTTTTGATGTAATTTGCAACTTACTTTTATGTTTATGTAACAAACAATACTTACTTTAGGCTCCTATTTTTGTATGGTCATGCATGTTGACCTTGAATCTTTGTACACATTGGTAAACTTTGAAACAATGTGAACTATTGTTGTCATATACAATAGAATTTTTGTTAAACTGGTGTTCTTGTCAAATAATATTTGGGATATTCAAAGTGTATGGACAAATGGAAACAATATAACACACATAAGCCATGACACAAATAACCTTGTTCTGATATTAAACCATCTGATTACACAAAGACTATATCGTTCAGACAATATTAACCACAACATAATTTCCTGCATTCAAACTCAAAACAGACACAAACACTACATAAACCATGCTACAATTTCCTATCTTCGGACTCAAAATAAGACCACCAGTACATTAACATTACGACCACGACAATACTTCCTGCATTCAGATGCAACTTCAACCATGTTTCAAGTAACGAATTGCAAAAAGACCCCAACTGAAGAGAACGATTAACTTATACATCCTAGCTTGCATGATAGCTTATTGAAGGGATTCTTGGAGCTTGTTCATAAACTTAAGTAACCCAGGTATCACTTCCACCGATCTTGGGCACATAGGCTCATCAAACCACCCAATCCAACTGCACCTTCTCTCATTACGAAGACAAGACCAAAATCGCCTTCCAGGGTTGCGATTTGACCAGGAAGTGACGATGGCTAGATGATGATTTCCACAAGCACATATCGGCATTTTCTGCAGCTTTCTTTCTCTAATACTAGTAGTGATCGATTGAATTGGGAGGAAGAACAAGAAGAAGTAATATAGGCGTTAATAAAATGTTCAGAAAAGGTCCTTTAGGGTAAAATGACATAAATACCCTCATGTGCAAGTCACATGGGGGCAGCTTAACGTTGGAATCGACGGACATCCAACTCGGGGACCAAATGCATGCAACTTATCATCCAAACGTACTATTTGAGGGAAAAAGTATCATAGGGACTACATTAGGGAAAAAGCTAAAACCCAAAGGACCATTCGCATAATTTGTTCCAGATTTTATGAAGACTTAGCAATTTAGCGACAAAAAATAATAGTATATTCAATTTATAGTTTATGTTGATGTACTTATATCCTTGTCTTTTCATATTTTAAAACCCTATATAATACAAGCATGTATTTTGTTGCATTAATAATTTTTTTCTTTAAAAAATCCGATTAAAATAAAATAATCCAAAATATGATATTTTAAAATCTTGATATATACAATCCGACACCTGTTTGGATATCCATATCTCATTTAGTTATATTCAATTTTGTTCCCATTTAGCCATTTCTTTTTATCTCATTTAGTTATATTCAATTTTGTTCCCATTTAGCCATTTCTTTTTACACAATTTACCAGTGAAATTGTAGTTTGTGTTCAAAAACTACCAACACAAAAAATAAGTTCATTGGTAAATGATAAACAAAAATAAATGATTAAATATGAATAAGATCAAAAGTTCATTATCCTCAAATAATTATCCTTTTTAATTAAAAAATTGATTTTGTGTGATACATAAAAATGGTACTTGGGTTTCGCAGTTGAAGTGGATAGTGTTGGTTTATAAAAAAGATTTAACTTTTTACTAATTTTGATGTAACAACTAAATAGATCTTTTATTTCTAGTTCCTACTTGGCATAATTTAAAACTATCATACTACATAATGTTTAATAATAAGACAGATAGGGGGATTTAACATTACTACAACCTTTCAAAAGGTTGATGACTCATTCCCTCATAATATTAACCACATTATCTACCAAATAACTCATTATAAACCAAAATAATGTTACAAATATAACCATCATCCAGTTTATAGCCCTCCATCAAAACAAAGGAGCTTTTTTCCCTTATGACTTTGTATATAACCAACACTACGTATATTAACCCAAACCCATCACAAGTCATCATAAAAACCTCGACTTCTCATCTCAATCAACTCAAATCCTACAACTACAATATTTGGGTTCTGATGAGACTCTCATCAGAACCCCATATAAAATTGATCCCCAAATCATCATCAGTCAGTACTGATGATGATTCTGAGGCCAATTCGAAAGTTCAAAAGAATTCCGTGTGATCGAAGAAGATGATTGTGTTGCAGACGGATCGCTGGTTCTTGAAGTTGTAGATACCGTTTTTGATGTATTTGAGAAATTTATAAGGCCATAACCGGATTCGGTTGTCGATGAAGGATGATTGGTTTTTGATATTTTGGGACACGTGTGTTTTCCAAGATAAGTAATTTCAAAAATTGATGAGTCATCACTTGATCTTTGAACTTGTTTAGTTGCACAACAACCGTGTGTGTTTCGGTATGTGCATCTATAATATTCTCTGTGAAATAAAAAACAGACGTTAAGTTAAGTACGCATAACATAAGGGTAAAACGGTCATTAACTTAAGGGGATACCTGGGGTATTTAGCATTAAGAATTTCCTTTTGCCCGTATTTCCTCCACATATAACCATCATTTGGAGGCACTTCAAGTCCTATCTCCAGGCTCACTTTCACTTGCTGCTTCCATTTAACAATGCTACTACTGTTACTCTTTCTGCATATCAAGTACCAACATTTTATTTTTATCTTCATATCATTCTTTAATTTCTTACAGTGTCAGAGTCAGAGTCAGAGTCAGAGTCACAGTACAACACACTAGAAATAGAGACACGCATATGACATATCTATGTACCTTTGATAACTTACTTTTTCCTAGAGCAATCTTTGTGATTGGAATCCTTGGTGTCAGAATCATCATTATGTGGTCTTCCACTTAATGAACTTTGGATTTCTGTTGTTCCAACATACTGTGAAAGGGCCTCATCAT